GGGAAGTGCAGAGAAAATGCGATTACATGTATGCGACGGTGCGGAGCATAAAGCTATATAGGAAACGTCAACTTTTTTCGACAGTCTCACGAATATTAAAAGTGCAAACTTTAATTCACGAATATAAAAGAAATAAAAATTATCTACAAGAAATATTGTGACATTATTTCTCATATTACGTAAGCTATTGTTATATTTTCTGCAATGTTCTTACCACGCATTATTTTCATCTTCTTTTTTTTTCTTGCAGGGATTTCATGTTCTTTATTTCATTTGTGAATTCCGCGATTGTTGGATGTTGTTACTGATGATTTTCTCTCGAGTGTCCGCGTGATTCATGTGATGGAACGTTACATGCTTTATAATGATTCGTTTCATATCCATTCCGTTTCCTAATTGTTGCAAGTGTACCTTCTGCCCCTCGAAGATAAATCGAATCACTATTCTGTGTTTCGCGCGAGGTGAATCGTGAATCCGTGCAATTATTCAACTACTTTGAATACGTCGAGTTACGCGCCGACTATCTGGTCCGTCCCTTAATATTACACGGACGCGCATTGTTCCACATCGCCGCTGGTAATTAGAGATAACTAGACTAAATGGTAATTCGGTGCTTCTGATATGCCCTCCCTCTTGCCGGCATGCGGCCTGTCGATTGTAAAATAGCGGATCTCGCGGTTTGCATGCCGGCCGCATACTCGACTCATGTTTTCTAGTAATAGCAGAAGGAAGGATCGCAGATCTAACCGAATCGTACGCAACGAACCAAGAATTTACATAAACATTAAATGTCCTTTTAATTTAATGTAACTAAATGAATTTTATATTAAATATTGTTAAAATAAAGCTCAAATTGAACATTATTTATTCGCACACTGCCATTAGAATTGAGTACTATTTTTTGCATTGATCTAGTAAATTATTTTATCAAAATTTTAATAAAATCTTTTGTATCTCTAACATTTCGCATGATTTCATATCAGCGGATAAATTCACACCTTTAAAACTAAGCAAATTTTTTGGAATAAAACCTTCGATAAAGGTTAACGATATGGATTAATTTGCGTTTCGTTAATGAAACATCGACCTTTTTCGTTTTTTTTTTCATTGAGTTCAGAGATAACGTATGTGCGTATCCCTGCAAACATGGCACGCACAAAGCGGCGAAGGGGAGAAAGGGTAGAGAATCCAATTACTCGGAATTTACATAATTCTGCAGGTACAAGCCGATATCCTTGCGGGCCGCAAATTCGGAAAATTCGTATTCCGTGGCCTGCTTGTTTACCCTACGCGCACTAGATATCACGACGAGTATGGCATCACGAATTAAATGTTTTTGCGCAAAATCGGTTAGTACATGATTGTTGATCAGTCGAATTAGATTCGCGAGAATTTAACCTCTTACCATGAAATTATTTTGTAACCAATAATAAGTGCGTACGGATTTTGTAGACCTGCGTTTACTTCGGCTCCCTTGCTGCGTGTCCTACATCGTTCAAGTGTTATTTTTATACAGTGAGCTTTAATTTGGTCCGGTAACTTGTAAACAATCCAGTCTGCTATATTTTTTTGTCTCACAATTTTGTGCGTCCCTGCGCTTCAGGAATGTACTACTAACAAAGCATTTGTCCCTTTTCTGACATTCTGCGTGTACGAGGTAATATACTACACGCGGCGGGCATGTTTCATGGCTCATTTTTCACCAGTTTTGCCGTGACAATCGTTCCATTTGTCTTTATATATGGTTTTATAAATGTGAGTGATAGATGACCGTCTTTCCCCATTTACATATACTTGATTGACACGGCGAATGTTTTGTACATTTTAACATTTATTGCTGAACGCAAGTAGTACAATAACTCTTGCAGTAGTACAATAACTCTGCAAAAGAAATTTATCACAAAGTTCAATTGTTTTTTTTAAAGATACAGAATTTTTGCATGTTACGATATCTCAATTTTGTTTTGTAAAAAACAACTGTTCTTTTTATAAGCACTTTATTTCTTACGCTGTTCAGAAAAAAATCGTATATTATGGCCAGTTAGGATCCGCGTTTACGTGAACGTGACGTTATCATGTAAATTATAAGCGCGATCGAAATTGTTTGCGGGATCTCAACGGGTTCTACACGTGTGCATCAGGTGCATTGTATGTAGCCGAGATTTCTAGCCCACGCTCTTGCTTGACAGTTTGTCGATAGTTCGTTTTTCCTGCCAGAATGATGAATTCTGAATTTACTGCCATATAAAATTGCGTTGAAGAGTTTGTTGACGTTCATATGTAAATGCATCGACCTACATACATATGTGCGTATCAGTTCTATAAAAAAATTCTGCGCTCATTGGGACCCGTACTTAAGTTGCAAGATACCGTGTAAATTCGATGTTTCCTCGTAATATTTGCCTTTACGTAACTGTTACGAACGAAATAATTGTTGCGATTTCGTCGACTTGTCCTGCATCGTTACGAAACGGAGAGGAGACTGCTCGTAATTCACTTCAATAATTACCGCGCTTTAATTAGACGAACGCAGAGAGGGACTTCCTTTAATTATTGCGTGCGAGCTATGTCAGCGGCCCACGTAATGAAAGACGAAAATAATAGTATGTCGCTCTTCTGACACCCATTGCCTTAGATCAAACTTTGAACAGAAACGTAAACTAGATTAAACATGGGTTATAATTATCGGCGTCTACATAAAATTCATGTACACAGTCAATTATAGTCTCATTTAGGTCATAAACATTAAAAAGTTTCAGATATATCGTTTCAGAACGAGAGATACATGTCATTTATTTTGTCATTTATATACGATGTCTCGTATCATTGATTCAGTCTTTAAAATTACTGATGTGTGTTTAATGATTCTGTTCGTTATTTTCTCGCAAGAAAAGTTTACAGAATAATATTTAGTGTCCAATGTACAAGTGTAATAATTACAGTTATTGATACGTCTTCCATGTCATGCTTGTTTCCCGAAAAGTGCGACGTAACGAGATCAACTCGACGAACGTTGATACAAGTCCCGGAACCGTGGGGACCATAAGGAGCTTGGCGAACATGGCCCCCTCACGACCGTGACGAGCTCGTTCGTTCGCCTCGTGTTCGTGAAAATCGAGCGCGCAGCGTCGCGTCTCGTAAAGGAGATACGGCGTTATAATTCACGAAGCGCGACGTGCAGCCAGATGAACCATAAAGTTCGGATAAACGGCCATACTTGGCATAGTTTCAGTGTCCCTTGAAGGTGGATGACGTGCTCATTGCCATGTTATTAGCGGCACTGAGAAATTTCCCTTCCTTTCGTTCTTCTGTCCCTCCCGCGCGCTTCATCCAATCTTCATTTCTGCACTCTCGCACGCGGAAGCATGCACAGATGAGACCGGACGTCTGTCTCGATCTTTCATCTCTCTCTCATTGGAACGGTGAATTTTTCGCAGCAGCATTGCATCAATGACACTTTTTCGTAATATCGCTGATTGAACACGAGTCGCATCGCCTTTTGCTTTCTCTCCATTTTGCGCGCGGATCATAACATCAGATGATTTTATTAAATGGCACATTTTTGGCGCGCTTTTCTCATTTGCTCGTGGATGTGAATATTGAAATTTGTGGAAAAACAGTTTTTATTAAAGTAAAAAAGCACGAATCGATATCCAGTTGCACGGATTTTTTGCATGTGATATGCTTTAAGAATTATGCGGAAAAATGCTTGACTATATTTTAGGTGTTATATTGATGCGAATCTTTACAAATGTATAAAGCAAGAAAGAGTTCCTATAGGAATGAAACAATCGTTGCGATTGAATAAGCAACATAACACGCGTGTGATAGTAAAATTTGATGTTTCTTTTTATATTATATTGTTATATTTTATATCGTGCGCATTAATTGCATTTTGTTATAAAACAATTTTGGTGAATTAGTAAATTTGATGTTAAAGTTGTATATTTTTCCGGGGAAAATTTTACGTGAGTTTTACGAGTTTTAGTAAGATCGCACGAAGTAAAACAACTCGATATTGTACTTATGTATTATCCCATAAGGCCAGCTTCTTTCTCTCTCTCTCTCTTTCTCTCCTTCCCCTCATTCTCTTTCATCGCTTTTATGATAGAGATATTTCTAATATCTTTCTAATGTTGACAGAGTTTGATATGCTCATAGTGAATCATAAAATGGGAACAAAGTAGAAAATCGTGAGAAAGTAAAGTATTATCATCCACCTGTTTGCGATCTTTCTTGTTTGACGGAATATCTGTTTCGGGAGCGAAAAAGGGTTTGAATCGTCCGATAGATATAAAATTCATCCTGTGGGAATCCCGATGGTTCTTACGAATGATAACGCGAATCAACAAGTGTGCAGGCGATCAATATGATAGTGCTAATTGTACAGACGATGAGATCATTACTATTTTTACTATCTGCGGTTCGCAATTGTTCTCCATAAATTTATTCCAGATGATTTCCTGTTATCACAATTCCACTTTCTATAATTTCTCTCATAGATCTTTATTAATTTCTTTTTTTATCTATTTTTTTAATTAATTCTTTTTACTTTTGGTTAATTGAATACACTACGGATAATTCCGACATTGCAAAGTTTGCATTTAATGAATAAAAGTCGAATACTTCTCCAATATCCGCGTGAAAAGTATAGGTCTTATTTTTTTTAACGTTAAGAAAATAAAGTTTATAATTAATGCATATCACGGTTGCTTTATGGTAACTTGTTCAATTTGTTTTTTTAAGAGTTTTTTTGCGAGTTTATTTTTGGTTACAATAATTATTGACTTAATAATTTATTGAATTATTCATATTATCTTCAGTCTTGTCGGCATCTATGCAAATATATCAACGACATAGTCGTACGTGCGCAATGAGAGCACTTTCCACATTCGCAGAGAGGAAAGGGTAGAGATCGGTAGAGCAAAGAAGCTGTTGCATTGGTGGCGTTGCCATGAAACTGATGCAATTGCCGTTATTTGTTCTTGACTTGCACTCACCATTGCACGAGATTCTCGAGTCGTTTCACCCTCCAAATGGCTTCGTACTCTCACATCGGCGAAGGGGTGAAGGGGGCGGTGTTTATGATGGCTAGTAGGAAAAGGAAAATGGCGAAAATAAGTTGAATACGATCTTCGTGCGTGGGAAAGATATATATGGCGCGTAGCTGAGAAATTTTCGCTTACTAGATGCAATATCGGTGCCACCGTTTTCCAATATCGTTATACACGTCAAAAATAAGTAATATCGAGTTAAAGAATTTTTATTTAGAAGATTGGACATTATACATTAAATGCACGCCACGTTTAATTTAAAAAATTATGTAATATACCTACTCTTAGCGAAGCACTGACATCATTATACTTTATATTTTTTTAACTATTTTGAAATACTTAGATAATGCTTTGTATGTAAATGTTATATAAACGAGACTTATTATTTATTTATTTATCCAAAGCGATTTGAATCATTAATGCGATTTTATTACGTGTTATTTTAATTCTTTTTGCTCACGCAAAATAAATACTTTTATTTTCTCTCGCTCTTTCATACGTTATCTAATCTTATTTTCAATTTCTCGGATCATCGCTCGCGGGTCGCAAACCTTCGAATTTCATATCGAAATTTCTGGTTACAATAATTTAAAAGCACTGAGTTAGACGCGTGGAAAGTGTAATATCGATAATACACACTCTACTAATTAATGCGCACTGACAGATGTTTAATTAATGAAACGTGTGAAAACGAGGGCTTTGGAGGGAGGTACAGATTGCATCAAATTACATTCAATTACATCGGATTTGTAATGCTTCGCAAATATGGTTAATCAATTAGCGATACAAATAGCAGGGTAGCGATAATGAAGGAAATAGCTAATGACGAAGCGGCGGCGAAATGCTCGATAAACAATGAAATGAAGATACGCGGTTCAGTTGATGAAATTTGATGAATGGCGACGAAACCATATTTGTATGTCTATTCTTAACAGAAACTAGTTTATCGATTCTCTCTAATCTATTATACATTTATCTTTTCTTTATGTTTAGAAGCTCACCGAGCTCTGGAGCTTCTCGAGGATTACCATGCCAAGCTGACGAGACCGCAAGACAAGCAGTTGCGATTAGCCATCGAGCGCGTTATACGGATCTTCAAGAGCAGACTCTTCCAAGCGCTGCTAGGTAAGTCATTTTGTTTGCTGCACTTAAATTTTCTTGCGCTCGAAATAATAAGCATCGTGACGCATCTTTATAGTTATATCGGTCGAAGATCGATTCTCGAACAGCAGTTATCAATCGATTAGATCAAACAGCAATTATCAAAGTACACGTTAGTGATTAAATAAGCATGCGAATCGAGATAGTCGAAAATTTCCTGGTATCTTATGATGATCGACGATGAAAGTCGAGTGGTGCGGATCATATGCATCACATTATCAGAATTTTACAAGGAGATTCGTAATCTGAATCGTTTTTGAATTATTACGATCGTTACGGCGATGATAACGCCGATTGTTTTTCATCGTTTATCAGTTGATTTATGGTAATTGCTAATTATTCCCCGATTTCCCTTTTAACATAAATTGCAGATAAAATCGTTTTAACATAGCTAATATTTTTTATTAATTTTATTCAGATACATATATGTATCTGAAAGGAAAATATGTATGTTGTGTTACTCTGTCTTGTCGATAAGATTTCAGTTACGTTTGTTGTAGCAAAAAGTGAAAACTCGACTTCATCTTAATAATTAAAATCATTTATCTACATTTCAATCATGTTATGATTAACATCTATAAGTAAATAGCAATTCTTACAGAGTTCGTGCTCTTACAGAGTTTGCTTTTTATGGACATTCAATCATTGCATAATCCTTATTTACAACGCATTTAAAAAAAAATACTTTTTTTCCTCTTTGATCTTTCGTTCCTGAAACTTCTGCAGAAAAGCGATGCGAAAAACGTCAAAACCGATTTAATTGAATTGGATTTAATTGGAAACGGCCGGCGCATCGTTGAATTGAAAAGCTTGGAATCGTTTCGCGAAATACCGGCACGCCTAAAAGTTCTTTCTCACGAGAGGGAAGAGAAAGGGACCACGGTCTCGGCCCATCATTATTTATTGGAACTGGCGCGCGTCGCTCTTCGAAGATTTCTCGTGCCATTGTTGCGCGGGATAAAACGTCACTATAGCGCCGGCGATTTATTCCTCTCGATTCTTCTTGCAGCCAATATTTCTCTTTCTCTGCCTTCACTGTGTCATCCCGCATTCTCGAAAAATCTCGAAAAATCTGATTCGGCCAAACTAACTTTCATAACTAACAGCTAGCTTTTGTCCGCGTTTGGAAACGATGTCGATGATAGCCGTGTTGTCGTTCGATAATTCACTCGCGTGTCAAATCGATTCGCACGCCTGCCAAAATCCATCCCTTCCATTTTCGTCGCGTCCGTCACATGTGGCGTGTCGACTATTTTGTTCTGAGCTTCCGGCTGCCCGGCGGCTTCCGCATCGGAGATTAGTCGCCATGCATCTGGAACTATGCGAACGCCAACGCATTCATTTGCGTTACCAACGTCGCGGCTGGCGTGTTACCAGTCGATATAAGCCGGATATACCCTGTCCGCGACTTGTGTTCTATCAGCTTTTGATACAATGGCGTCAAGATTATATATACCTACTATCCTACCGGGGCTATCAAGTGACGGATGCGACATGACTAAGTTGCCGCCCGCACGCGGCGAAATTAGCCGGAAGATTAACGTTCATCTGGTTCTGTTCAACTATTATAATATGTCATACCGCGATCTCCGGACGTTGTTATTTCCCACTCGACTAGTCGAACATAATTAAATTGAGAGCTTCTCAACGCTTTATTTAGTAAAAGTCATTCAAAGTGTTTTGCTTACCGAGTGCCGTCGTCTTCTAAATAAATTCACTTCTTCCGAAAGATTATTTTTTACATCAAACTTTGCTTTTTTTAAAATTGAAATTAATAATATTTGAAAGTCAAATTAGCTTTGAGAAAATTTAAAGTAAATGTTCAACAAAGAGATTTTTTATTATCTTTATAGTCAACTTGTTTTTCTGCTAGTCTTTTTTTATCAACGCTTTTAATATGTGTATATAAATAGGTATAATATAAAACGTTAGCGCAAAAATAGGATATCCGTTTGATTCTAAAGATTCATGACATGTTGTGTGGAAAAAATAAGTTTTGTAAGCGCAACTGAGCTTCCCGCATGTTTTTATTCTCGTCATACGCGTTTTCTATATTCCAGGGTATCAGACGAATTTCGAGCAGAATACGTGATGATTTTTGAATTTTCGTGGGGAAGAAAATCGACTCGAGTATTGCCAGTCGCAATTTCGAAGAATGTTTGAGTTATCTCTCTCTCTCTCTCTCTCTCTCTCTCTCTCTCTCTTTCCCGCCCCTCTCCCCTCCCTCTCTCTCGCTATCCAGGAGTTCGCAAGCCTGGAAAAGTTTTTTGGCGCGGCTTGGGGTGCGAATGGCTGCCGATGGGTGAAGTGCACTTGGTGTGCATTCGGGGGCCACTCGAGCCATCTCCTCGTAGCGAATACGGACACTCGCGAATTTAAACTCGACCGGAAATCTCTCGAGCGCCGCTCGAGCGAATTGATCAAAGGAAACGCGACTTGAGCGCGAAATTCCGCATGGACGTGCGAAGAGTCGTGTCGATTTTATTCCAACGAAAAGGTAGCTTTCAGGAAATGGTCGCTGTGCTTTTTATATCGAAAATGGATTCAATAAAAGTAACTTTTATTAAGAGACGTTGTGCGATTTAAAGCGTATATTTTGCTTAGGCTTCATAGTCCAGTTTTCTAAAATTGTATTTGAAATCTCTATACTTAATTACAATTCTCAAAGCTTTTTAATTAAGTTTTTCTGAAGGAAATCTATAAAAACAACGAAATTATTAAGGAAATATATATAAAAACAGCGAAAAAAGAGACGTTTGGTGATTGTCCTTTGCCGACGAATTGTTTGGATGCAATTAAAAATCGCGTATCTTCCGACAAAATTAAATTACAAGTGCAGCGACTGCAGCTGCACCATCGTTATTGCCAGGTACGACTAAAACGGCTTAGCGATCGCCTCGATTTAACGAGGTAACATTTATTCGATCGCGTTACTTCGTTTACTTTGATTTGCCGCAGGCAGCATGTAATCGTGGTGCAAATAGTGGCGGGCACAATCTTTTCTTTAGATATCTGCAGTACCTAAATGGATAACGATATTCAACTGTTGGCCCGCGAATCAATCCGGTGAATCGGTTATTTTGAACGCCGTGAATGACAAATATTACAAAAAAAAAAAAATAGAATTGCGAAACTGCAGAATAAGATAAAAAAAAATTTTATTTCCTCGATTCTTTATTTCCGTCGAGTCGCGTGGAAAATTGCGAGATGTATATCCGCGGAATTGTTACACACGCCATCGGATACTCTCTGTCAATTTGAGTGACGTCGAGCTGCAAGCTCCCGAAACTAATTTCGAGTTTCGTAGCGCGTTGTAACTTCGTTATGTACTTGACGCTGCCTTTATGACGTATAATCCCGTGGCTACCGGCCGCGAAACTCGAAACGGATACGATGCGTACAGTACTATTGATGGACAACTTCGTCTGTCACGCTTCCAATCTTAATCGGAAAAGGACTTTTTGCTCTCGCACTTCTTTATTCGTGCTTCGTTCTGTCATTTGCCGTTTGTTTACTGGCAAATCGGAATCAAGTTGAGAGTTTTCTAAAATTAACCGGGACTGACTCCACTTGAGATCGAGGAAAGGAAAACGGTTTTCGATCTTCTCCTTTCCTCATTCGCGTTTTTCTTTTCTACATTTCGAATTCATGGGAATTACAATTTACGATCTTACAGTTACAATTTGGATCTTATGTTCTTAGATATATCTTTCGATACAGTGTTGAAATCTCTACTTGTGATTTTATTCAGCATCGCCTTTTTCGAGAGTTATTGTCGCGTTTCACCTCTGGAAAATCGTGCTACTCAAATCTTTCGACCGATTTCCCGATTAACTTTCAAAAAGAGTGTCAAGCGTGATCAGTGGGTTGTAATACACGTTCTCGTAATCGTTCGCTGAACAGGAAGAATTAAGTGTCCGGACAGTAAATTTGAAATGCATTGGAAACGATGGCTATTGCAAAATACTATGATGGCTAGCGATGGCTTGAGCGGTTGAGATAACCGAAATTTGTCAACTTGCTATGTGCTTTGTGTCGTTATGTCCAACGCATCCGCGTGGTTTGCATTATATATATAATATATGGTACTTGGACTCACGCGCGTGAATCGCGACTCTGCGTTCTGTGCGCGTTTATCGCAATACGCGAAGTGCTGTGCAAGTGCGCAACGTGTACAAAACGTGTCCAACAGGTAACACGCGCGTGTACGGAACCGACACGGGCTGCACGATATTCATCCGTGCATCCCGCGAGCGCTTAATCGCCATTGCAACGATGCAGAATGTGAATGTGTGATACTGTCTGCGGATGACGAACGAATCGGCGGTGCGTTGAATTGTCTCTCGTCGCTTTCCCAAAACGTAAAATCTTTGATGAAAAATAGAACGCGACAAATCTGTAAAGCTGCTAATCTTTTGCATATTTTCTAAACGTAAATATTCTCCAACGCGTTACGTTAACATAGGACATACTGCTCGCAAGTCGCACGATTTGACTTTTTTAATTTGCTTCTCATCCCACGTGTAATTCAATTATCATTTTTGCCACGTGCATCTACTTCTTCGTTTTTCTTCTGAATAATTCCATTTTTGTCATGTAATTTAATTTTAGATACATACTTATTGAAAGTCATACTATTGTTTCTTCGACGATCGATTGACAGGGAAAAGGGAAGTTCTGCAGTCCACACCGCGAGAAACGCGGTGGCAGGAGAAGTGAGATCGAGAGGTGTCCCGGAGTTGCTCTTTGGAGGCGCGGAAAGTCCAAGGGAATCGCGTTAAAGTTATTTCTATTCATGGAGAACCGGGAGGACCGGGAGTAAGAGCATCAGCATGATATTTCTAATTCATTGAGTGGTTCGCCGACCGCTAAGGGCGACGAGCTCTGTTTTCTTTTCTGAATAAGATGATACCAAGATGACTTGGTTTCTTTTAAACTTTCGAGCGGCGAACGTTACGAATATT